TGTCTCAGAAGCAGCGTCTTGAATTTATGCGCGGAATTAATTATGCACGTACGTTCCCGGCTCTGACTCGCCGGATTCGCAACTCCGGCGCTCCAACGCCTCTCCGCCGGACGTCTCCGTCCCGGATAACTCCCCGCTGTTTGTCTGGTTAGTTTGCGTTTGGCGGCGTTGACGGCGCATTTAAAATAATTGCTCGGCACTGTCGGAGGCGAGAGTGGAAAATCAGGAGCCGCCGGCCCCGGTCCCAGTCCCGGTCCTGATCCTGATTCGTGTGAAAAGTTTACATTACGCTCTCGGCATAAGCTCATAATGGATTTGTTGGCGGGCTTGTTGAGTTTTTTGCACTCACCGCAGAGTTTGGGTTGTGAACTTGCAGATTGTGGCAAGAAATTAACCAGGAACAGAGGTTGGGGCAACCGTAATTGGGTATGCCTGTGATGAGCTAATGTAAGTTATGGATAGTTGGCCGTGGGTAGGTAACTCTTCCTTGTGAAAAGGACGGGAAATTATAGGACTTGTATTCGTTATCCTTTAATTATTTTGTAAACTTTTTTACTTTCATATGGATATTTTTAAGGGGAACTCATTTTTTCTGGGTAATGGAATAGTTAGCATCCTAATTAGTTAATTGAATCGGATGTGTCTGCAGATTCGATGTCTCCCGCATCATTAGCATCCATGTCCATGTTGCCCGAGTTTCCAGAACATCCTTTTATCGAAATCCATTGAAACCCGCGGCTTTGATTCACTATTGCCCAGCAGCCTTTGCCAGGAGCTGGAAGGCGCTTAGTTTCCCGGCTATTCAGGCTGGGAGAAGTTCCTCCCACCCTTCCACCGACTCGTTTTTGCTGTTATGTCTCGCTACGCTCCTGGCGGCCTGTCTCGGTTATTTACTCCAATGGCGTAACGTTGAAAGCAAATTGATATCATGTGGATTTGGCTTTCACTTTGTGAAATCAATAGGCGAAATCCTTTTGGCAGAGCCTGGCACAGACCCACTCTGGCACTTCCCAGCCAGGCCCCCATACTCCCATTCAGCTGCCGCTGCTCCTGCCACTCGAGTTAAGCCAAGGATAATGATTATGTTGCGCAACGACCGGGGAAACTCCAACCTCGGGGGCAATTCGGGGCTGGGGGTGGCTTTTGCATAGCTTCCTTCAGCCTTACAGGGGAAGGAAGGGGATTTTGTAATCGACAGACAATCGACGTGAACAACATAATGGATATCGAACTCGAACTCAAGTCGAGACAGTAGCCCACAGCCCCAAAAGCATACTTCAAGGCATTGCAACTAATTGGCTTTCCTTAAATGTGAGACAATGCGGGCTGTGGAGGGCTCCGGGCTGCGGGTGGGAGCCATCAACCGCAGGCGATTGGCCTGGGATATGGCCACTCCTCAGCTGCCTCCTGTTTGTCTTGAATGCCACTTGATTGGAAAATCAAACTAATTAAAAGATTTCAATTAAACGCCGAGCAGGGAATGCTCTTGCACACCTACTTCTTCGCCCCTCGCCTTCTTCCGATGGCCGCAGTAATTCCATTAAAATAGCAAATCAATTTCAATAAATTTCATTCGGCTATGTGAGCAAAGGTGGAATTGCAATTGCAGTCGCAATCCAGAGCAGCGAAGGACGAGGACTGGTCACTGTTGTGCCATCATAAAACTGTTTACATGCTGACAAATCTGTTAATTGAATCGCAAATCCAATTAAAACTTGGATTCCGTGCTCCCAACTTTCAGCTGCTGAAAGTTCAAGTGCATAAATGGCCAGCATGTGGCCAGGACATGGCTGTGTCACGCCTTTGTGTGCAACTTTTACAGTTTGCCGCCTCGCATCCTAAGCACCATTTTTTGTCGCCATGACGTTGGCTTTCGTGTAAATTCAATAACAAATTTATGCGTCTATTAAGTTGAAACTGCATTAAAGCGTACAATTTCCTAATTAGTGTGTCTGGCATTTACACAGGCTCTCTGCCAGGCCCACCCTCCCGCTGCCAATTTGAATTTCAGCACGCAAAAATAGTCAAAGCGAAACCGCAAGCTGCGCATAACTAACTCAACTGCTTTATTTGGACAAACCGCAGCCGCAGCTCTCCCTCCATCAGCCCGGCCGATGCTTTTCCCAGCCATTCTGCCCAAAAATAGCAACATATACAATTTCAAATACGGCCCAGAGATGAGCAGATCAAGTTTACAGAATCAGTGTAACTGAAGTATCTCTTTGGGAAATTAAAATGACAAACCCGAAAAGGATGTAATTCAAGCTACAAAGAAGGTTCTTATTGTTTGTTATTATTTCATATTTATGCTAGAAAATAGTAAGTAAATGTTCAGCTTTCAAGTTATTGATGCACATGAATATCTCACAGATCCTTTATAAATTTTATTATGGTTACCAATTATTGAAATATATTTTACGATTTATGAAGCCAAGATTGTGTATGAATATTGAATAGACTCGGTGCTTAGAGCATCTCTGGGGGCTTATTTGGTATGTTCCGGTTTCGTTTCGGTTTAGTTTCGGAGAGTGCCGTGTGGAGCCCATTAAAAGTGCATTTAGTGAAAATTTATCTGGGCGCAGAAAGGTAGCAACCGCAGGCGCATTTTCAACTTGGCTTGGCTACAAGTGTGCGTGTCCGGAAACGGAAATAAAATAATTCTGGTAGCACTCGACAGGCAGTTGCAATAGCAACAGGAAATCTCCTCCTGCTCCCCCACTCTGGCCACTTTTATCCTCTGACTTTCCTGACTCCTTTTACTCCCCTGACCCTGCCCCTGCCCCTGTCCCTTTCCGTTTATTCCACTGTCTGTGTGTCTGGGCATATACAACTGTTTGTATTTGTGTTTGTTTTGTCAGTTTGGCGTTGGTGCGAAGGTTCCACTGTTTATGCAAATGCTTTGGCCCACGAATGCTTTAACCGAAAACACTTTAACCGCATTCACCTTGGGCGGCTGCTTGTTAGTAGCCATTGAGAGCAGAACAGACAGTGCGGTGTCCTGGCCCCAGTAACTGTTACTTCCTCCCCACCAACGGACACCTGCTACCGCCCACCCCAGCCCCGCTATCCACTTTCTATTCTGCTGCCCAAAAGGCCGTAAAATGCCTGCAAGTTACGGCCATGTGCCCCTTGGCTGCTGTTCCCGAAAAATGTTTCATTGCCATTGGAGCCAGGTACAGATCCTGCTGTTCCAGACACCTCTGCACCATCCCCCCAGGACAGCCCACTCGCTTTCATCTACATTGAAAGAAATAATGTTTATTTAATAGTTAACTTTCACTAGAATTGGGAGGATTTCGTAGACTTTTCTTTGAGTGCATTCACTTCATGGCTGCCTGGGTTTCTATTATGTAGCATATCGTAATCTCACTTGAGTCAAAGGTTTAGCTACAGACGCCCGAAAAACACCCACACAACCATCCTCACCAACAACAGCAATAACAACAAAGGCACAACAACAACAACTTTGGAGGCAACAACAACCAGCAGCTAACACTTTGTAAATAGTCATCGGCGTGTTTATTACTCAGCCGTGCCGGAGTGTCTGCTCCTCCGGTGCCGCCAAACTCTTCGCCGTACTCTCCCTATTCAGCCGTATTCTCCACCGTATCCCACAGCCGTGTGGTCCTGCGGTTAGTTGTTAGTGCTGCCGAGTAATCGCTGTTGCGAAAGATTTTCAACAGACCCCGGAGTGCGAATATGTGTGCTTGACTTTTCGCTTAATGAAAGCACAGTTTAAAGTTGGCATATCCTGGCAGCGACAAAGGACAACTAAAAATTTGATAAGTTTTGTTGAAGAGTTTTGTTTCATTTATCATTGAAAATATTTGTACCTTTTTGTAATTTAATAAAAGTTTATAAAAGTCCTTCGGAAATTTTTGAATTTTCGTTTTCCGACGAAAGCAATTCTGCGCCGTAAACGGGCTTTAACAGCTCTTTATCATTGCACCACTTGGCTGGAACGGAAAGTAATTGGTAACTGCTACTTAGGGGCACTAACTACACTCGTCCTTCCTACAATTCCCGGCATATATCAGGCGGCACTTCCCCTTGACGTCACAATGCCAGGGAACAGAACACGACCCCGCCAACTGGCGAAAACAAAACAAAACAAACATTTTCTCTCTCACGAAATTTATCGTTTGCATAAATTTGCTTTATTGCCCGGCTCGGAGTAGGAGTATTGTTGTATGTATTTGGATACCACCATGGATGGGTGTGTGTGTGTCTTTGAGGGAGCTAGTGTGCTTGTGGCCGTGTTGCCAACGGAAGTGTAACTTTCGCTTCCAGGCCAGACAAGGCCAACACATGCCACAACAAGAACAGCAACAATGAGTCAAATACGGCCAACAAAGTTTTCCATTATTCAATTTAACTAATGAAACTGAAAATTCATTTTACCACATTAACAAACACACACACACACAAACACATATAGAGCCAGAGGGTTGCAGGACATCGGAGGACGTGGCAGGAAATGTGACTCGCCTCCGGCCAGGACATGTGTGCGTGCTGGACTCCTGTTTTTGGGTTTGTGGCGGTTATTTGAACGGCTATAAAGCGCGGAAATTTATATTCGTGAAAACTCAACAAGGACGACCGCGACAAGGCGCCACCCTCGTGTCCAGGCATTTAAATAATTAGGTATATTTTTAGGCTTCCTTTCGAATGTCCATTTGCGAGAAGTGATTTTCCCCAGCCCATATGTTTCCCCTGTTAAAAGCTTTGATTAAAAAAATCATAGAAACTATTTTAAAAATAACCAAACTACCTATTTCATATTTAATTTATTTAAACCGTCGAATTTATTTAATTCTAATGAAAAACAAAACTATTTGATTTTCACTGTCACCTTTATTATGACTCCTGCATGTTTTTTCAAATATTTCAGAGGATTTTTTTTGAAATTATATGTTGAAAATAAAGTTTTCTTAGTAATTTTGTAATTTTTATCAGTGTCACATTAAATTTATCTTTTGATTAACCCGTAAATCAAGTTCCTTTTAGTTTTACTTAAGGTACTAATTAATGGTTTCTATTGGTCTGTTCTGGGTTCTTGGTGACGACTTTGACGAGGATCTTGTAAATAAAAATGAAATGGAAACGATGTAAGTTAAACCACATTTTAGGTCCTAGTCGCAATCCTCCTCCTCCTCAAGGTCCTCTTCATCGGATGCCTCGTCCATGTCCTCGCTAGCGGTATTGCTATCCGCGCTGTTGAACTGCACATCGTCGTCGTCGTAGTCGTTCTCGTCCACCGCATCCTCAACCAAATCTGCCTCATCGTCCACACCCTCCTCTGCCTCCACCTCGCTTTCAGCGTATTCATCCTGTTCCACGTTGAAGGTTTCCATTTGTGCTTCGCCCACTGCCAGGTGGTCGCCGTTTCCCACCTCGTGTCGATGAACGAGCGGCAGGGTCCCCATCACCTTGCCAGAGCCTCCCGGGGCGGTTTCGCGATGAAGTCCGCCGGCTTGCTTTTGCACCGAACTCATCTTTCGTGGGCTCTCCTCGCCGGCAGTATTCCGGTTTCGATACGCAGCACTCTGGGTGGACCCATGCATGGCACCAGCAGGCCGCGGATGCAGGAGCGGCATGGCCTCCGGCTCGATGGTCCGCTCGTACTCCGTAAAGTTAAATAGCGGCGGGATGGGTCGGCCATTTGGCAGTTGCTGGTTGGGATCCTGGCGAAGCTCATCGAAGAAGGGATGTGCACAGCCCATCAAGGGCGAGACCCGCTGGTTGGGCGAGTATATGAGCATTTTGGAGACCAGGTCAATGGCCTCGGCTGGAGTGCGGATCCGAAATACCTTGGCCCATGGGTGCGGCTTCAACTGGGGCAGCTTGAACTGCTTGTAGTGGGGATTCATGTCGTGCAGTTGCTCGGCAGTGGGAGTGCCCATCACTTTTACAATTTCCACGATTTGATCAACCCCAGAATCTCCGGGGAAGATAAGCTGGCCCAGAAGAAGCTCGGCCAGCACGCAGCCCGCACTCCATAGATCGATCTTGGTGGTGTAGTCTGTGGCGCCAAAGATCAGCTCGGGTGCCCTGTAGTACCTAGAGCAGATGTACGATACGTTCGGTTCTCCGGAGATCAACTGCTTGGCACTGCCAAAATCGCAGAGCTTTAGGACACCGGACTCGGAATCCAGTAGCATGTTCTGCGGCTTGATGTCCCGGTGGCAGAAGCCCAGGCTATGCAAATAGGCCATGCTCCGCAGGAGCTGGTACATGTACAGGCGGACGTAGTTCACCGGCAGCGTCTGCTTAGCCCGGGCATACTGGCGCTCCACCTTGTAGAGCGTCTCCGGCAGGAATTCCATCACGAGGTTAAGGTAAACTTCGTCCCGCTTCTCGCCACTGGAGTAGAAGAAGAACTTGAGGGTGACTATATTTTCGTGTCGCAGCTTCCGCATGATCTGCAGCTCTCGATTCTTGAAACGCCGGTCCTGGAGCACTTTCTTAATGGCCACCGGCTCGTTGGAAGGAACCATCTTGGCTTGAAAGACCACGCCAAAGCTGCCGTTGCCGACTACCTTGCTGTCCGTGTAACTGATCTCGCTCATGACGTCCGGCCCGTAGGCGTTGGTGGCCACCACGGTGGTGATCTTGGTGCTGATACCATTGCTCTTACCGGGTGATGCCATTACTGGCTATCCGCAAATAATCAGTGGATATATCCAGTGTCTTTAGTGCAAATTTTTAGCGGCTATTGTTGAATTTTTGTAAAAAAAGGATGCGGCTCAACTGACGAAACCTGCTAAATTATACAAAAAATTGATGAGTGTTCTATGTGTTGGAATGGTTATGATGGGTTCGTTGGAGCTGACAGCCTGTGGAGTTTTCTCCGTAGGCTACTCTGTTCAAAACGATTGATCGACAAGATTTCCTTTTTTAAAAAAGTTTTTTTTTTGAAATAATCTTTTTTTCCACTTTTGTGACATTTACACACTTTTTATAGTAGTTTCTAGCTCAAGTATACTTACAATGAAACCAAAGCTTGAAATGCTATCTGGAGTAGAGAGCGTAGTATTTAGCAAGTTCCACACTCATAATTTATAAGAACCCTCTGTAGCTCTCACTTTTAGCTGCAGTGGCATCTGATGTCTGAGCCAGTTAGGACGGCTTTATGGCCCTCTTTGTTGGCTGACTCCTTGGACTATCCACTTGAGCCAAACTTATGCAAGGCCATTCATAATTCGTAAGGGGCATTTCTTTGTGCTGCGTAAGTTCGCTAATTTCTGAGCTTTCTGCATTGTTGTCCACGCTCTGGTCGTGGACTTCAACTTGAAAGTTTCCCTTAGCCTTTGTCTTCTCGCATCTCGGCTGCTTATCGCCTGGATGCCCCCAACTTGGTCCTTCAAGTTCAGCTGGCTCGTCCTCGGACCGAACGCTTATCAGACCGGGATGCTGTTATGCTTTTTACTGTTTTGCTACAGCAGTTGAAGTGGCCCGCAGGGTGGCATCTTTTTTTAGAGAGCCCCAGATAGCGGCCACCCCCGCCAAGCCCCACTCGAGATTGCGGGATGAAAACGAATAAAAATTTGGCTTTGTAAATGTTTTGTATAAAATGTCGTTTGCCGTTTATTTTTTATTTGTAATTTTATTGTATATATTAGATATATTTTTATAAAAGTGACACACTCATTGTAAAATCTTGTTAGAGACATTTAATCGTATTTATTTTTAATTTAATTCTTTCGTTTACACCAATATGCAATATGTTTTATGTTCTATGTTTGTGTTAAATCGATAATATTTCATATGCATTCCGTATTCGCTTCTACTCGTAGCTCTAATCTGACCACACAATCTATTAAGTAATATTAAATATTTCGATTGATTCTCTTTGATTTTCGGTTGAGTGACAAAGTTCAAGTTGGACAATGGGGTGAAGGGGCAGCTAGATGGTCAATTGATATTTACATAATTTAACAGAGGATGAGACGAACGGACGGACAAGAGTACAGACAAAGGACTGGAGTACTTAAATTAGTGCAAATGATTAAACTAAGCTTAAATGGGCTTAAAGTATATGGTCAAAAGTTTCGGCTTTCCGCTCCGCTTTCGAGGTTATTCAACTAGGCTTACATAAATATTATTGAAATTGTTGGACGTTGTTGGCGTAAGTAAGTAAGTAGTTGGGGCTAAAACACAAAGTCTCAGCTAGGTCTACAACTAGAGTATCCGTTTTCTGTGTTCCATATTAGTATATATTTTATTTAAATTACAAACATAGGCTATTACATTTATTTGGCTTTTCTGGTTGCTGTTTGCTGTTCGCTTCTGCTGCAGTAAAATTAAATTTTACATAATTTTGTGTGCTCTCGTGTAGGAGGCATTATTTAAATGCGTATCAAATTGGTTCTTAGTAGTTAATAAAAACGTATATTTAATTTACTTCCAGGCCCACACAAAGCTCATACACACACACACACACGATACGGATACAGGCACAACAATAAAATTTTATATTTATCGCTAACGATTTCCTTGCAGAGTCGCTAGAATGGCTATCTGTATCTTTGTATCTGAGTCTGTGAATGGCTGGGAGTGTGTGTGGTGTGTGTGCCTGGCAAGCATAAATATGTTTGTGCTGCCTAGGTTTTCGCTTCCTTGTTTGGCTGTGTCTGGCTTGTGCGCATATTTTAATACATTTTATGCCGCTGAAATGTGCGCCGCTTATCATTAACGCACAATTTATTTTTGCTTTTATGCTCTGAACGCGCCCAGCTCAGCACCGCCAGCCCCGCCCACTCCCGGATTGCTGTTGTTTATCTGTGAGATACATTTGCTTTTTTGGCTTTTTGATTATTCGCGTCTTAAGCTAAGTTTGTTTTTCTTTTGTTTTCGCATTCGTATTCGTTTTCATTCGAGTTTTTCATTGTATATTCTGTTCTCTTCGTCTTTGCTTAGCTGATTAGGTTTACAATTTTTATTTTGAAATTTTGTTAAAAACTAACATATATACACATACACAGACGGAGCTACATTATCTATTTACATGTTGGCATAATGTGCATTTAATTTGCAAACGACAAGAGCCCGCAACGCAGCTGAAAACTTTTAGTCCAACTTTTGCCCCGGCGGCTTTTAAATGTTGTTTATTGTAGCTGTTTTGTTGATGTTGCCTGGTTGTTTGGTTGTTGGTTGCCACTACCGTTGCTGATGCTGCCGCTGCTTTTCCTGTTTTCCGTAGCATACTTTTGTGCAAGGACCCGCATACGTAGTTTCCATTTAACTTTCCACTTACATGTTGTGCGTGTTGTTGATCCTGTTTATTCTTTTCTAGAGCCAAGCCTGTTCCTGTTCGTAGAGAGGCGGTTGTTGCTGCTGATGTTGCTGCTGCTGCTGTTGTTGCTGTTGCTGCTGCTGCAACCAAAGTTTGCAGAATGCAGTGGGCGGTGGATTTGAGGCGCAGGCACTGCCAGCTGTTACTGCATGGGCGTGGTCGTTGTGGGCGGCGGGCTTTGGCTATTGCAAATTAAATTTAGCTAATTCTCACAATTCTGTGCTCATTTCGCTTACAATTGCGCTCTGTAGTTTGCATTGTTGTTTGCAGTAGTTGTTGCAGTAGTTGCAGTTGCGGTGGCATGGCATGGAAATAAAAAAAAACAGAAAGAAAGAGAAGGACGAGAGAGAGAAAGAGGGAGAAAATATTTGCATATGTTAGAAAAAGTTTTCTTGTTGATTCGATTTTCTCATTAAGTTTCTAGTGCGTCTGTGTGGGTGAGTTTGCGGGTGAGTGTATGGGTGTGAGTTGGGCTTGTTAGTTTGTTCTAGCGACTACAGTGCGTATACGTAATAGTGGGTTTCAATTCGAAATAAATTCTGCAAAAATATAGATCAAGTGCCAGCAAAGATCTTTATGGCCGCTGTAAATCCACTTTTATCGCATTGGCTGCCACAAATTGAATACTTTTTATCATTTTAGTTGGCGCCACACCACAAATAATTACTTAATTTAATCATAAACCAAAAGAAATCCAAATGGCCGAAATGAACAGCCCAGAAGGCCCCTCGACACATAATGTTCAAAAACCAAGGGCCCAACGATGTTGAGTTTTTATATAGCCATTCATAGGCTTATCTCTCCGCCTCCGGGAAAAATGTGCGTCAAATTTACGATTGCCACTCGGGCACTTTCAACATTTTCAGCACTTTTGGCCTCCCATCCCTTACGTTTACATTTTCCTTTTCGTTTTTGTTTTCTATTTGGTTTCTGTGACAAAAATGCGTAAAGTTTTCGGCCACGACCCTTTGTTGATGCCGCTTTCCTTCGGTGGCGTGCGGTCTAGCTACAAGTCGCGGTGGGCTCCAAATGGTCGATTGCCAAGGGCCATGGGGTTGCGAGGGAAATGGAATGGCTGCCGTTGTGATACCAAGGTCGAAAAAACAGACCCCTTATGGTGATACTCTTTAGAGAACAACACGGAATTTTGAGGAGTGTCTGAAAACGTATTTTCCTAAACTTATGTATTTAGATTTAAGCTGAAAGTTTGTTAAGGCTAGTATTTACAAATAATTATATTAAATTATTGTCCTTTTTACTCAAATATATTTCCAAAGATGGGAAAAGAGTAACCATCGGTCAACTTTCTGAAAACTACATAAGAATCATTTTCCCTTTCAACTGTTTGTTATTTTGTTGTTGCTTTTGCAAAATTTTGTTTATTTGGCTTGAAAGTATTTCTACGATATGAAATGTTTGCCTAGCCCGGTTGTTATTTTTTTTGGCTGGCTGCCGTTGTTGCCAACATTGTGCCTTTTTGCTTTCATCGCTTATTTTTTTGCGGGTTATTTTTGTTTTGTGGCCTGTTGTTTTGTTGAAATTTGTATTTATGTGCGGGTCGGAGGCACAGAGACATTGGCATCGGGGCATCGAGCCGGCAGAAATATCATTTACCCGGCTCGCTTTTCCTAGCCTCGTATATTTTAATGTTGGTGCGTTCTTTTGGTCGGGAGTGTGAATGTGAGTGTTGGCCCTGTTGGTGCTTTTGGCCCTATCATATATTCATGTAAGTGTTTGTGTGTCTGCGAGGGGTTTTTGTCTTCTCGTGTGCTGAAAATTATGTATATTTTTAGCACTTTCGCTTGTTTTGTTTTCGCTTATCGAGTTTGAAGGTCATTTACTTGCAATTCCCAGCTCTCATAAATGTCCTGGGCTGTTGGGTGTGTACGAGTATTTTCCGGGTTTATCGCTTCACTCACATACATTCAAATACAGAGCTGAATGAATGTTGGCCTGTCTGCTCGCCTGGCTGGGTAGTTAATTTGTTGTGAAATTGTCATTTTGTTGCTTCAATGGCTGCGTGCAATGCGGCTTATGAGTAATATTTCTGGCTGAACAATGTACGCTATAGCATACTTTTTCGGGCCGCGTTAATGAGGCGCACAGCCAGCCAGCGAGAAACGGACAAACGGAAATGGCTTTTATTTTCGGGGATGATATCGAGGGCCAGGACCAAATTTAAATTGACATGTTTAAAGTCAATTTGCCTGAAGTTTGGCTCGTAAACATCACGTTGGCAGTGGGAGGAGGAAGGATTCCTTCGATCTGAAAGAAGCACTCTCCCTGCCTCCAATGACATTAACCTATTCATTTGTAAATAGGCTGTCGAATTTCCTAGTAAAATTCACCCCGGCTAACATAAATATTTGTGCGTTCCGCTGCCATGCGAAGCGTAAAAACGTCGAAGGAGTCGACGATGCAAAAACCAAGGGCCAGGCCAGAGACATTGCCAAGAAAACAAACGGCGTACGCATCGCAGTCAAATCAAATGTAAATCCAGAACGAAAGCAAGGACCAAGTGAAATTGAAATGAAAATGAATGTTTGCCTGAGAGGCTTTGCCATTGTTGTTGCCAGCCTCCCTCGATTGTTATCGTTGTCGCCTCCCCCTTCGAATCTTGTCCGGGAGGCAATTGAAAATTGGCAGCTGGCAAAAAGCGGGCAGGCCAAAAAAGCCAAGGCAAAAGGTCCCTAAGGAGGGGCGGAGCCGGCCCAGACTCCCATTCAGTGTTGCGTGGGCCTAACGGGCACATTAATACATAATTTATAATGTTTTCGTTACGTTTTGTTTTCGCACACTTAAAGGCGATGTCTTGTGTGTCTGTTTGAGTGTGGCGGGTGATTTTAAATTTTCAGTGGTATTCAATAAAAATTGATGCATCAGATAGCTGGGGATTTGGGGAAAACAAGGGTCGCAAAGAACAAAAGGTTGTGTTAACTTATCATTATCCAACTTTAAAACACACCCAAGGGTTGTGGGTAATATCTAACAAGAACATTACAAACTGACAGCGATAGTTGCAACAATATGAGAAGGGTTCATCAAGAAAATGGGGGGTTCAGTAACAAACTTCAGTAAACATTATTATTCGTCCCACCCGGGCTTTCATCTAGTAACATTTCAAAGCTAAGACTTCAACTTAATTGAGAACAAAAGCAAATACACACAATATCCCATTCAGTTTCGACTTTGATCCAACTGCAACTGGGTACAAAAAATGTCTATTTGCAACTAGGGGGGGATGGTCGCTTCTGTTAGTTTCATTGTTTCATGCAGGTCAAAGGTCGTATCGGTATTCGGTCTCTGGTAAGCTACATAAACTGCAAACTGAAACTGAAACGGAAACAGGTAGCTTTTGTAACTACGGTTCAAAGGGTACTCGAACAACGAAACCGAAAACAAACTGAAAATATAAAACTTACCGTCGACTACTTTGGATAATTGGCGATAGGATTATCTCTAAGCTGGAGGAAATGTTTTGATTTTGTTGTAGGTTCGAGTGCAAATTCGTTGCAATAGTTGCTGCTGTGGCAGTTGCATTTGCAGTTGTTGCGGTGCCAGTAGTTGCTGCAACGGCAGCGGCTGTTGCACTTGCAGTGGCAGTTGCTGCTGTGGTGATATTGGAATTGGTGGTGTGGTTGTTGGTAAGGGCTGCTACGTTGGTTGGGGGATCGCAGGTCGGATTCGCATTCGCATTCGCATTGGTAGTGGTAATGGCTTTTGTATGGCTATTGGAGGTGGTATGGCTACTATTGGACTTTGTATTGGTATTTGCATTCAATGAGGGACAATTTAACGTTTGACTGGCTGTAGTAATTGGCCCTAGTTGTTTCGCCTGCTGACCACTGTAGACATTCGCATTGCAATTATCGAAATTAATATTGGTCGCCGTCGAGTGGCGATTTCCATTGTTTCCGTTTCCGTTGTTGTTGATATTGATGCAGTTGGCTATATTATTGTTGTTGTTGCTGTTGTTGTTTGTGCTATTGTGACTACCCGTTGGGGACATCAAAGGAGCATCGGCATCAAACATATCCTCGGCCTCGGCCGCCTCGTCATCGGTGTCTTCTGTCTCGTCGTTGGTGGTCTGGGCATCCTGTTGCATGGCCTCCAGGACAATCATGGCCTCGTCCTCCTCGCTGCAGGAGTGCGACGAATGCGTCTGGTTTGATGGATTCAATTCGGTTCGGATCGGTTCGATTCCACGGGGGTTGGAGTGGGGTTTTCGGGTTGGTATCGGGGAAAATACAAACAAGGTTTAGCTTTCTTGCAGGAGGTTCGGGCACTCTAATCAGACACTATTGTTCAGTAGTTTTAGCACAACTGGGCATGCACTTACTCAGCTAATGATTTATCACAATATTAGGCTTACTAATTTAAAATAACATTTACGGCTATGATAATAATTGTAGACGCTAACACAAACACTGCGAATTAGGCACTCAGATACATGCACTTCATGCGATTCATCGACAATTTGACAAGGTAAATAATATTTCAATTACGATAATATTGACAAAATCAACCAAATTCGCTTCGGTGGTATTTTAATTAATTTACAAATAGAAACCCAAACCAGTTGGCGCCCATAAATTTATCATTAGGGCTGCGGGCAAAACTTCCACGATACACAATTTTAATTACACACCATGAAAACCTGCGCGAAAATACTCGAACAACAATGGCCAGAATCAACAATACCAAATGCCAATGGTATCGGTGATGGTAATGGTAACAAAGGCTCGCCTGATTGCACTCGCTGCGCCCCGGGGGCCAAACAGCTGACCACCAGAATTGACCCGTGTGCACAGGTGGTCAAGTGGAACCGGGTGGGGGCTATCCTATTCCAATCCCATTTGGCCAAAGCCACACACCCTGCGGTCGGCTGTTGATTGCATAGCGGATATCGTGGAGCGACTCCTTGATGTTATGGCGGTTGTTTTACGGGTAAGTTAGACTAGCCTTACTCAAAACCTTATAAATGGATTGGAAAATAAACTATGTTTTTCCCTTTAAAATGAAGTATGTCTATGAATTAATAATGAGGTAATTAAGCTCTGAAATAATATTTCTATTTATATCACCTATGTATGTTTAGTTTTTATTTCAATAAATGAAGCTCTAGTATAAGTTTCCAATCATTTAAAAATACCCTAACATAAAAAGCAACCTGAATTTGCATTTAGGCAACATATTAAGCCATTCAAGTGGCAGACATGTGTGGTTTCAGCGTCTATCTCTGGCTCAATACGGCTAAAAGCTCATTCAATTTGGCTCAAGACACGTTCGCTTGTAGCCCATTTGATGCCTTTGTGATTGCGAGTTCTTTGCCAAAAGTCAACATACATGCGAACATGCGAAGAACAAACCGGAAGCATGCCGAACACACATATCCAAAGTCTGTGAGTTTCATTTGTAAATGAAATCAGAAAGGTGTACAAACACTCGGGAGGACCCGAAACCCAACGGATACCGTGTCGGGGTTCGAGTATCCTTCACTCACTTAAGCGCCAGGCCTTTGTGTACCGGCAGCTTATGCTTTTTGTAGCCAACTGGTACAAGTTTGTTGCAAGCAAAAGTCGAGTTGCTTTGTATATAAATTTGGATTGGAGCGTGCTCGTGTGCGTGGTGGAAGGAGTTTGACTCACAAGTTTGTTTGATTTTCTATTAATTAAAATTGCATTCAACTTGAAAATCGTATTTGTTGGCCGAGAGGCAAGTTTATCTCTTATGCCTCGTGGTAGAATGGATCTGTGGCAAGTGATTAGGGATGGGGTGGATAATGGGGGCTGGCTGGGCCACGCCCGCTTCCATTCAATAATGAACTTTGAATTGTAGCCTAATGGAAACACGTACAAGATTGCATAAACAAACTTGAAGAGCGTTAGCCAAAGCCAAAGGAATTTAATTAATTTTCTTCCCCCGTTTATGGGTGGATGGATGGGTGTGTATGTGTATGAGAGTGCTTACCCGCGGCAGTCGGTGTGTGTGTGTTAATTGGGCACAGTCGTTGGGCAAACACGCCCATGGCCCAACACACACAGGCACGCTAATGCATCAAATTGTCTGGCATAAATGTTGCCGAGTGTCAAACGCCCCCTTCATTAACACGCGGGTTCAAGGCAGCAGGACGACTCCAATGTCATGGACATTGGGTGTCGTAGGTGGGTCTACACCTCGTCTAGCAACTGTCACCATCAAAGATAATTATTACCTACCGACCTTTACCCGATCTATGCATGTGTAGTTATTTTTTCACCTTTTTTCCCGGCGGCGGTGCTCGCCCCACCGGATATGCATAAAACATTTTTAAATACTTTTGTTCGCAAATAAAAAATGCATAAAAATATGCCGGTGACGCGACATATGCCGCCCGCAGGTCCAAGGACAAAAGAGGCGCTTAGAGCCATAAAAAATAGCAGCCGTCCCCTGCCCATCTATGCAGTCAATTGCCTACGCGATGAATAATTAAATCAGGCACGGATGCTCCATACACAAAAGCGTGTTTGTTTAAAGTTTTTCTTTTGTTTCAGCTTTTTTACATTTTCCGCACTATTTGACATGGAAAAATGTTTTCTGCCAATAAATCAATTGGCAATTTCATATTTTTTATGGCTTTTTATATTTGTTCGTTGTGTGCTCTGTGCATTGTTTTCTAAAATGAAAATTTTATAATATTGACCAAGACTGACATAACATTAATGAATGCTCAGTGACCTTTAACCTCCACTCACGTGTGAACTCATATGAAAATCTATGCAAATTGATTTAAAATTCTGTTTAAATGAATAAAGTTTCAACATGAAAGGTTTCAGAATCTAATAGATTTTTAAATTCAATTTGGGTGGATATCCATAGCTTTCTTTCCTGCCAACCAAGCTACTGCCAATAATCATTTAGTGGGAAGATTGCTTAAAGCTATCGAAGTTTGTTGCTTTTATTGTTTACCAATTGTGTTAATCTAGCATTTGTTAGGATTTGTTAGGCTCTGGGTGCTTGTGTGCGGTGTGTCCTCTAAGGCGGCAACAACAATAACCGTCGGGACAATGAAAGAAATAAAAACTGCAGGCCTTCTCTCGACTCTCTAGTCGCCTTTGGCAACGGTTAACCCTTGAAACAGGCAGGGCGAATGGCTCAGAGACAACAACAATCGAAACTTTTGCCACATTAAATCAGTAAATTTATTGACTTAACTGCTTTTTGGGCAAGGACATGCCACACCCTCCCACAGCCGCCGTTTGGGGGCTGTCAGCTTTGGCGTTTGCCTCTTGGCCGCTGGCAGCGCACTTTGCCACTTTAGCCTGGCCAAGATGGTGTCCTGTGTCCCCAGATCCTTAGATATCCCGCAAGCCCACATTCCCGTAACTTCCCCTGTCCCAGGATTCCGTGCTTGGCATGCCTCTTGGGCTGCCTGGCTGCCTTGCTCCTTGCTGTGCTGTCATAATTTTTGATTTGCTTGTTTTATTTGATGTCCTTGCTGATGTCGTTGCTTTTGCTGCCGAAGCCGAAGTTGCCAGGCGTTGTCTTGGCGTTGGCCCACTCACTTCACTAAGCTGCTTCCCAGCTTAGGAAAAACAATTTTGCAAAATTTATTTTATAGCGAAATTATGCCAAACATTTCGAAAATGTTTCTATGTACTCTCTGGCTGCTGCCAGGCCATTTGGGACGTACGCACACATGTCGACGGTCATGGGTATATGTTTATACATATATATATAGAAGAATATCTATATCTATATAGTCACACACATGCGTGTGACCCGGTCGGTTGGTCGGTCGGGAGCGCCTCGAAGCTGACACAGAATTTATTTTAGAATTGTAAGTATTTGTGCTTTGGTAGCGGCGAAATTCGTGCCATCAACTTTAGTTGAAATTATTTGCTTGGCCAGCCCGAAAAGGAAGATGCTGTGTGCCGGCGAGGGGTCCTGTCTGTTATATAAACTTGGATAATGTAGCGCAAATAGTTGCTTATTATTTATTCTCTTTTATTGCCTCCCAGCCCTGCCCCGCCCGTAACTCAATCTCTATTCGCCTTCCAGCCTTTGTCTTGACTGGGTCTTTATGGCCTTTTGTTTTCGGGGCAATTTATTTGCGCTCCAAACAAAAATTAGTTGGAATATTTCAGTTGTTAATTAGGCATGCGTGAAATTGGGCAAAGTTTTGCACTCGAGATTCAAAGCATACTTTTCAGTTGGGCCAAGTTATCCTTGTATGGGAATTTGTTTATTGCCAAAGATTCGCCAAACTATTCAGAACATATCCTAAACACAGAAGCCCTCAAAGGTTGCTCCCGGATTCCCTCAAGTGCCTGTGACTGCCTCACGCCTTAAATTTAAGTTAATTAAATTTCGCTATATCCTGCGAGAGAGATAGCGGCAACTTTATTTCCGTCTGTGCAGACATAGACTCGCTTTTGATAAGTACCACCCATAGACGCCGTCCTCTGGCGGGCGTGTGTATAAGATAAGGACAAGCACAAGGGTTTGGGATTCGGGGCTTGGGCAATCCGAAATCCTGGGAATGGGGACACAGACATAGAGTGGCCCATTCACTCCCCGTGTTTACAATGAGTCTTACGAAATAATCAACATAAAAGCTTCAGTTACTTATTACACTTGTACAAACACAAATACGAACACCCGTACATATGAGCCGCGCTCTTTAGAATTACAACCGAAAAGAATATAGAAAAATAAAATAAAATTAAGTATACGTCATGCAGTCGGGACGAGCTGGGCAACAACTCTCTACAGAACATATAGGAAATAACACAGACTTATCAGGCTAAGTACGCGAAACTGTTCGGGGTGCACAGTGAGCTAAGTGCTTGGCTCGGCTACGATAATGCCAATAAAATACGGATTCAATTAAGGTAACACAACAAACATGCAACACAAAAAACAGAAAACAGCAAAACACAATGGAGTGGCAACCGAAGAAGGAGAAAGATACTAAGAACACAAGTTGCAGATCCAAAGAGACGGGACATCGACAGCATGCGACAGGTTTACGCTTTACACAACATGCGAACCTCAAGGCGTACTCACAGTTGGCTGCACCGCGCCGACACTTGACGATCCGCCAGATACAGACGCGTTCTGGCCATGCTGCAGATACACTAATGGACCACCGCCGCCGCCTCCGCCGCAGCCGCCAGCCGACGACTGACGCGGCTGCTGGACAATGGGCGGCGGCGCTGACGTTGACGGAGCGGCTCCTTTGTCGAACTGATAGTACATGACGTCGTTGGCGGGCGCCGTGCCCCCGTAGAGCGGAGGTGGTGGCGGCGGAGGATCGGCGGTCTGCGAGCCGGAGATGTGGTAAGCGGTGGGCTGCTGTTTTGGAGATCCACCCGATCCCCCTCCGCCCGCCGGCATCTGTGGCATCTTGTAGTTGTAGATGTACGGCCGCTCGTACTCCCCACCGTGGATGTAGGACAGAAACAGGTCCGACTTGGCCGGTTGCAGGCCCAAACCTCCCGACGGGCCACCGGCACCGCCCATGCCACCACCACCGCCTCCTGACCTCTGACCCAGGGGACGATTGTAGGCAGAGCCGGTCACACTGCTGCTGGCGTAGTGCAGCGGATAGCAGCCGGCGTTGGCCAGCTGGGAATGGCCTCCCGTCAGGAGTTGCGTCTTGGTAATGCTCTGCCCGGATAGACGGCGCGTGGGCACTCCGATGTCCGACTTGGCGTCGCGCCTCTTCGCCTGGGCCACGTGCGTCGAGGGACCCTGGTAATAGTAGGGGGCCGCCGGATTGCTGGGCCACTCTACAAAACTGCGCTGCCGGCTGAAAGCACCACCACCACCCGAAGGCCCACCACCTGGGATATTGCTGCTGCTGCCCCCCGACACCCCCTTCGAGTTCCGGACCAGGGCATTGTTCAGGCTGAACTTGTACTGGTTGTTCTCGAAGGTCGTGTAGTGGAGCAGACGATTGGCCGGCGACGCCGTTGGGTTAGTACCGTTTCCATTGGCGCCAGTGTTGGGATTCGGATTGGAGTTCGCGCTGGGATTCGGATTCGGGCTGGCACTGGACGGATTGTGCACTGGTGCCAGGCCCGAGTTCGATCCGCTCGCGGGGTTAGTGTTCGATGGCGAGGAGGTGGCGTATTTGTAATTGCTCTTCTGCTGCTGCTGTCGCTGCTGCTGCGCGAACAGCGAGCGCTGCTGCTGCTGCTGATTACTCACGGTCTGCTGCATGAGGCTGTTGTAGCCGCCACTGTTGCCGCCACCGGCACTGCCGCCCGACTTGCGGTGCGATCCGCTCGAGGCTCCCGAGGACTTGTTGGTGCCATAGCGTGTGCTGTCGCTGGATCTGTGAATGTTCGGGTTATTTTATGAATTGGAAAATAATTTCAAAGAGAATACAGCTACTAACTACTAATTCTAGCTACTAACTACTAATTTTGAACTGAATATTTGAAGTCTTACCTTTCAGAGGAGTAAGCATAGTCCTGATCTGCTCCTAAGCCGGAATCGGTGTGCTCATGCGAAACCCGCAGGGCAGAGTTTTCCAATGGACTTAGATTCGAGCCCGTGGGCGAGATAAAGTCACCCATGCTCATACTGGACATCATTCTGTGGACAACACGCAAATCCTTTAACTTTGAAACAAACAAAGTTTTAGCCTTACTTACCTCACTAGACCATTATTACGCTCGCACTCCCTGGATGATATAGTACTGGCCGATCGAATAGATCCGTTTTTGGGGGCATGACCTCCATTTCCTGCCCCGACGCCATTGCTGTCGTGTGGATGTGAACTTTGATAATAAAGTCTATAAAATGGAATTATTTAAAATAAGTTGTTATCCCTTAGATCCTCAGATCCTTACCCTCTGATACGATCCACACGATTCCTGGCCTGTCCTGTATTGCCTGACCCACTGCCGTTGGTGATAGTGTTGCCTGAACCCGTACTCTTGGCTCCTACGCTGCTCTTGCTGTTGCTCTTGTGAATCTTGAGGTTGGAGTTGGAACGCTTGGAGTTCGTCTCCACCACCGTGTAGGGAATCTCCCGCAGCTGCTGCTCCGACATTCCCTCAGTGTCCACCAGGTCGAACTGCAGGTGCTTGGCCAGTTCGCTGTTCCACATGCGACTGCGGGACTCCGACGGAGATCTTTGCAAAGAGCACCGGTTATATAAGCTATCTTTGGAAAAGAGCATGGTTAGGAAACTTACTTATTCTTGCGATGCCTTCGCGACTTATGATGCGAATGGGTGTCCGAGTGGCTATCGTTGCTGTGCAGGCTGCGGGCCACCATGCTGCTCTTGGAAACCGCCGCCTGTTGCACTGAGCTCTGGCCCAAGCTTGCCTCAGCCTGGCGCCGTTGTACTTCCCGCCACTGCGACGTGGAGTCGATGAGCTCAGCACTACCACTCCGCATCGAGGAGCTGCGGTGTCCGGAGTAGCTGCGTCCTCGGGTGCTGTCGTGATCGGATCCACCGGCCGAGTCCCTTCGGTGCCGATGCGATCTTCTGTGCTTGCGATGGTGGGAGCGTCCTGATCTTCCAGAGCGTCCAGAGCCACGAGATAATTCACTTTCATTGTCGGAAGTGCGACGATGACGATGCTTGTGTCTGTTATGATAAGAAATAATCACTTTTAAACTTCGTAGCCTTCACAGAAAACTTTTCTGGTCTTGGATATAAATAAATATTTTGAGGAATTTATTTTCTTCGATTACTCATTCAGGTTTTGGTGTTTCGCCAGTCATGATATCTACGTAGGGACTGTCCATTATTAAGTGATATCTCTTAAGCTGGAGTATAATAAGGTCAATTCTTTTCAGATAAGATAAATATCCAAATTGACACTTTGGTATGAGAAAGATTTTCCCGATAAGATAATTATTTAAAATTCGTGTGCAGAACTTTTATCCATGTCTCAGGATGTACAAGTCAATATGGTTTATAAGGAGCTCCACAAATCACAATCAGCAGACAGCTTGACTCTATCTTGAAATTAGTAAATGGCCTTGGCATTATCAAAATATTTTTGATTCTCAAAAGGAATACTTGATAAAAGTTGCACACGACTTTTTTTAGTTTTCTAGATAAATGTTTTTTCTATTTCCGGGACCTTTCCCTGTTACATTTAAAATAGAAATTGTTTTTTTTTTATCGAATATCTTAACTTACCTGCGTGTAGATCTCGAATCGTTGGAGGAGTGACTCTCCACTGAGCTGGAGCGGTACCGCTGCTGCTGGTGCGAGGCGGAGGACGAGCTGGCCCGCTGCTGTCGCTGATGATGCGAGGAGGCGGCGGCCGACGAGGACTGGTGGTGCGGATGATGGCTGGTTCCATGGCCGTGGCTATGGTGGCTGTGGTGGTGGTGCAGACCCCCACCTGCCGTACTGGCCGACCGAACGGAGCGCGGACTCGACGGGTTGTGGCCGAAGAGCGAACGCTGCTGGGAACGGGGCCAGGGGGCACTGCGGGTGCTGCGGGGCGAGTCCGGGGTCTGAAGGTTTCCGCCGCTGTTGTTGTTGTAGCTGCTGGAGTTGTTGTTCTGTTGCTGCTGGTGGCAGGGCCGAATTCCCAGGCTGGTGGGTATGCTGTAGGTGGAGCGGTACGGACTATCGTAGTTGCTGGAAAGGGGAGACAGGGAAGAAGATTAAGAGCGGGGGATCAGTCAGCAATCGCTCGGGTCGCGCATTATTTTGCCATAAATTTAAATTGTTTAACATAAACGTTGATTAAAGTCCGCGGCGTTGCGGCATCGCAGCACCACAGGCATCGGAGGCCATTTAGGCTGTCCGAGAAGGAGCTATCCGAGGGGGATGGCCGGCAACCCAGAACTCCAGGCCGAGATCGACACAGACAAATAATGCGCGTGTGTAAAATTGAGTAATTGCGGCACTGGCAATCAGCGGGCAATCATTTCGTACTCTCAGGAGTCGTCGCCATTTGACTGCAGCTCCGACTGCGGGTTCAGCTCCAGCTTTAGATCCAGAACGTGGTCAGGCGTGCCTAGTGATTTATGTATGCTCCCGCTTCGAATTGGTTACTGCACTCGGAAAAAACTCTTCTTAAACACAAGGCCATCAGAAAAAAGATGCAATTTATGCTAAAGCTTTTTTACAATTTTTTTAAGAGTGATCGATCTGTGATCAGTGGTGTGGGGGGCAGCTTGATTGGCCTGTCCGGCTGCCTGATGTTTGGGCTTCTCTTTGTTTGCAAATGATAAATGACGTGGGCTATTTGCTCATCCCAGCTCCGCCTAGGAATCCAGCGATTACGACGAGCTCGGATCGGCCGGGGGATTGGCTTCTATTACCTTATTTAGAGCCTCACCTGAGCGTGTAATTTATGCACGGATGGTGGGCAACACTTATACTGACAGCTAACAGAATAGAGCGAGGGAGCTGGGAAATTGTCCCTGGTAATTGTCCGATTCGAGTGCTTCTTAGGATCGCTTTCGGTTAAGTCTAACAGCTCTTTCGTCTTTCAGAACACACCCTGGCTTTTCCTTTTTGGGGAAGTGAGAACTCGCAACTATAAATCTCCTTGCATGACTCAATTTTTCCTCATACCGCCTCGTTTCAAACATCCTGGCACCATTTCGACAACATTTGGACATTTCCGTTGGGCGGCCAGGACTCGGACCGGACTAATAGCTGGATTTTTATTTGTCTATATAATTTTGATGTTTGCAGCCATAAAACATTTAATAAATGTTGCGTCTAGACAATGTAACTGCCTTCAAAATGGCAACTAAATGGATTTTGAACACGATTTCGAAACAAAAATTGGGCGAGAGCACATGCCAAGGGGCACTTGAGCGAGGACAATGCCAAGGAGTTGCTATCCTGTCAAAAGCAAACATCGAATGGATTGTAATGGCGGAGAATGATGAAGTGCTTCTCCGCCAGCATTCCTTTCAAATTGAACCGGGCGATACAATCAAGTGAGCCGTGCTACCAAATAGCCATAGCTATAGCCATAGCCATAGCAATAGCATCCAATGAAGCTGCAGACAGGCCCCGAAAAATATGTTTGAAAATTAAAAACAGATCAAAGGGAAGCCCTCCAACGAGCCACATGAGAGCTCTTCCGGCGCGCCAGCTCCAAAAATGATTACTAAAAAAGCAACCGTCTGAGGAACAAAAAAAGTGGCCGAAAAAGGACAACTACGTCAAAGGAAGCATCTGGCGTATATAAATGGGTAAAATACAGAAAACACTACGGGCGAAAAGGTTTTGTCTACACGGGGAGAAAGGATATTAAACCGGAATAGTAATAATACTCATTGGATATAATCTGAGGTTTCAAAATGCATTTTCATTATTATAAATTAAGCTGGTTGATCTACAAATTTAATATCTAGTTCATGCCTCATTAACTATATTTTGGGAGTTAGTTTAGATTTTTTTGTAGTGCACCCTTTGGTATACATGGCGGATGGGTAAATCAAAACTTTTGTGCATGGAATGAAAACAAATGATGGGCATTTGGAGTACTCACTTGGAGATGGTGCCTAGACCGGGCTGCGGCAACGGCCTGTTGCCCATGTGGACGCCTCCAGGTCCACCTGCTGCTCCACTGCCGTTTCCATTGCTGGTGCCATTGCCGTTGCCGTTGCTGTTAAAAAAGTCATCAATCACGCGTCTCGGCTGGCGCTTGGAGGGCGTGCGGGTGAAGGCGGGTGGGGAGCGTCCGGCGGCAAGTGCATCCTTCTCCGTTTGCTTGTCCGGGCGACTTTTGGGGCGGGGTGGCGGATACGGTGGCGGATGCGGGTCGGTTCGGTTCAATTCGGGGGTGGCAGACATGCGAGGCGCGTTAGCGAGGCGGAGTGGTGGGTAACATAAAAGTAGGCATAAAGGCGTCCAAAAATATTAACAACCAAAAGCGGGAAAAGGCCAAAAAAATAAAACACCAAAAGTGAGAAGGCAGAAAACGAGAGTACAAATCATAGAGGACTGCTGATGTTGGCTAATAATGAACAGTGAACCATAAAAAGGTTGTAAAACCTAGGCGGAATAAAATAAAAACCGAGAAACTTTCATTTGTTTCACAAATTAAAAACGTCGAGTCTACGCTGTGGTTCTGTTCTTGGGGCAGCCATAAAATGAGCTGACGCCCCTACAAAAAAAGTTTTCGGCTTGGAAAATGCCCAAGCTAGGGTCCTCGGCGGCGGAGTGGCATTTCCCTCGGCCAAGTTAATAGTTTCACTGAGTTACGGTTGGCCACGTGAACTCGATTTAGCCCGGCGCAAGAAAGTTTACCGCAGCAACTAAATGGTCAGCCACAGTCACCGCAAATGTCAGTCATAAACATGGCCGGAACAGTAACAGGAGTTGGCCCCGAGCAAGTCCAGGCCTAGGCCTAGGCTCTGGCTCAATCCCCTGCCACATTCGTCATGCACAATTGCCTGCATTTGGTGAGCCTGCTGCCAGTTTCCTGACCCTCCCTCCCTCTATCTGGCTTGGAGCCTCTTTTCGCAGAAAGTCATTAGTGGGCTTTGCACTCGAGTTGCTTTTTGGCTGGCTGCCCGCTGGCCTTCAGGCCCTCCCCCTCCCCCACTCCTAATTTTGTATATGTTTCTTGCTTGCCTGCCAGCCTTCCTGCAGATCCGACATTTTTATTGGACTTCCAATTAGTTGGCCATGCAGCGATGGCGTAAACTTGATCTATGCACGCTGGATGGATGCACTCGGACCCTGCTTCTGTTTGGCCAGAGATGAGTTCTAATTGGATCTGCGGAAACTCGAGGAGCTGACATGCGAACTTGGTTCATTTGGAGGTACTGGTGGGGCTTCAGGGATAACGACAAAAAGTCTTCATTTAATGAGCTGGCTTCTAATGAAATTTATACTGTGCGTAGTACCAATGGAATTTTTTCAGTTTTTAAGAATTTTTTTCAATACCTAGATGAGAAATGATTTTATAGCTTGTAAGCTATGGGAAGAGTAATCTCTGGCCTGCCAAATAATATTTTCATTAATTGGCTACAAGGAGCCTTTCGGCATCTATCCTCTTATGAACCAGTTCATTGACCAAACTCGAGACCATCCCTAATCCCTTGGCCACGAAAGCCACTCTGAGCTGACCCTTAATGAGCTAATCACATGAGGTGCCCTTTGGGCTGGTGGGGTCTGAGCTGGACTCAAGTGCCGGGGCCATTGAAATTTGTTACGTCTTAATTGGCTGCGCTTTCGGGTTTTGGCCAATAAATTAGGCAGCCAGAGCCCCAGAGCTCAGGGTTCGGTTATGGGACTTACAACTTTATCTAATGGGCGGAGCGAGCACATGACTGCACCCACTCGAACTCGGGCTAGTGCTGCAACTCTTGGTTGTACTTGCCACTTCCGGCAGTGGTCCTGCCACTCGAGCGGCAGATTTACTCACCTGTGCCTGAAGCGCGATCCCAGCTGGAACAAATCGGTGGCATGCGACTGGGAGCTGGGCAGCGGGGCCACTCGCACCTGTCTGAAGAACGCGTGGTGCTCCACGCAGCACCGCCACAGGTGCTTGCAGGCCGACTTGCGGGGTGTTTCGAAGCCATAAGTGCTCAGTTCGTTCTGTAAAATTGCAAAATCGCAAATGTGTGATAAGCGCAAAAGTCAAGTCACGACGGACCGGACCGAGGCGGGTAACTGGGAATCGGGAAACGAGGATGTGGGAACTGGAAACTGGGAAACTCTCACTGGGATGTGCCGACAAAAGAGCCAGGCCCTCCTTCTGCTCCGTTGCCAGGCGAAGGCAAATTGAGTGAATGAATGCCTCAGCAAAGTTTGCTTCCCTCCATTCCCCTGTCGAAGTTAAAAGTGTGAATCCGTTGGCCGAAAAAAAGGAAAAAATCAAGTCGAAGGAAAATGTTAAAGTTTCGCCTTTTGTGTGCGTCAACTGGCTGGGAAACTTTTTTGATTATCAAAGCGTTAACACCCAAAAGTGTGTAAGTTTCAGCAGCCACCATTCAGCGTCTTCTATCTTCTATCTGCTACCAGCTACTTGTTGTCTAACGAGTCTTTCAGCTCTTTCGACTGATTCTAGGCTCCTCCCACGCTCCATGCTCCTGGCTCCTGGCGCCACTTGATGCCGTTGACAGCCAAAAGTTGTCACCATAAGGAGGGCTCACAAAAAAATTGTCGACACTGCAAAACGCGAATAAGAAATTTTAAAAGCTAGTCCCGGCTCTGAAGAGACTGTGATACCCTGCAGTTTACTTCAACATTTATTTTATGGAAGGATTTTTTAAAAAGACCCTTTAAAATGGGTAATCTAATTTATATAAATATTTTGTAAGCTTCAGGCAAAAGTCTAAAAAAAGATACTACCTATTCGAGTTATTCTTGGTTCTACAACTACCCTTTACTGCTAACTTTCGACCATTCACTCGCGGAACGAACTGCAAATTGTAAAAAGCACTTGTCGGCAAACAAATTTATGACTGGGATGGGCATCGCCATCCACATCCACATCGCCACGGTGGCCATTTGGGTACCCAGTTTCCAGTTTCCCAGATGCCATTGTCGTTGGGTGCGTTAGGAATTTACATTTTTATCGCTTATTCTGAGCATAAAATAGCGTCCTTTATAATAAACTTTGGCAATGCGCGGCCAATAGTAATGAGCCACCGTCGTCTTGTTGCGCAGGACGACAATACCGCTCGGAGTCAGGCCCAGGAAGTATTCCACGCTGTCCTCGCCCTGTGGGAGAATCGGAGAAAAATAGAGAAACAAAGTGTGAGAATGGGGTAGGGTATGGGATAAGAGTGAAACTTTGGCAAACAAAAGGCAGGCTAAAGTTTCCTTTCGGCCATTGCCAAAAAATGTGTTAACAAGAAGAAAGTTTTCGCCCATTAGCAGCAGGCGGCATTTTTATGGATACCTCCGTCTTATAGCGCCACCCAAAAAAAGACGAAATAAATGTAATTTCAGCTGTTAATTAAATTAAAAAAAGGGGGAAGTGGCTGGGGCACATAAAAGACGGCGGCCTGGCGCCGCGATAGTCAATGATTTGTGTCTATAAACAAACACAAGGGCGACGAGTGAGCCCGAGTGGAAAGGGGTGCCGATATCCATAACACATACCACAGCCATGTGGAGTAGTAGGAAGTACAAGGGTTCGGGGACCCCAAACTCCCCCCGCATACTCTCCGAATACAAACACAGCTGGTGATTTATTGAGGTTTGATATCAAAGTAAAGGGCAATAAAAAATGCAAATGAAGTGCCAACTTACGCAGCACAAAACCATAGAGACCCGGCTGGATCGTAAAGGGGTGGTCTGAGACACATGAGGCGTGGTTTTTCGGGGTAATCAGTGCCCCCCGCGCTTCCCCAATCACTCCCTCAACTCGGGGGTCCAGAAATGTGAGCAAATGATTTATAATATTTGCCATGAAATGAAATTAAACTTTGCATTTCCCTCTGACCCCTTTTACACGGCTGGCTGGATGTTCAAACTGTGTCTGATGTCTGATGGTGAGCCATCCGACCCAGCTGCGGTTTCAGACCCCCAGTCCCCCAGTGGGACACATGAGCAGCATCAGCAGATATGTAACTTACCAGAACGGGGTGCAGATCAACGCCATACATATCGTGCCACTTGACTTTGTCCAGATAGTTCAGTTCGGCGCTGGAGGGCGACATTCCCTTCAGCTGCTGGTGCAGCTCAGAGACCCGAGTTTCCAGTTCGCTGCTCTGATTCGGTAGCAGCCGGAACTCGGACACATAGCCTTTAGAGTGGCGCCTCTGATCGTAGTCGCCCAGCTCGGCTAAGGATTAGAATGGTGATGATAAAAATGATTTGGATTTATATCCTTATTCTTATACTCACATTGCACCACAAAGGCACCCAGCTCGGCGGCCAACTCGAACGCCACTGGCAGCCGGCCCTGCAGGACATCTTGTTTGACTTGCAGAAAAAGTTGATACCTGAAAACGACAAATTTCATTAGCCAGAACAGCAACACCATCCGAAGGAGAACAACAAGGACACAAAGCAGTTAACAAGTTGACAAACAAATCTGAGCATGAAATTAGTTGATCCCTTTTGATGTTTGGCCAAGGTAAACACAAGCGGCTTTTTGACTTTGGGCGTAACATGGAAATCATGAAACGAAACAAATAAACAAGGACAGGCCAGGATATTTTCGAAAGCAGGCGGCCGGCATCATATTTCACAATTATTTGCAGGCCAAACTTCAAGCTGCCTGTTTGCCCTAATCCTTTTGGGCCTCGTCAGAGCCCCATGTTGGAATATTGTGGACAGCCTGCCTGTCTGTCTGCCGGTTCTACAATATCCTCCTCTTATCCAGCCTCATCGGAATTTTCAACTTTGTCCTGTCTAAAGTCAATTGCCGTTTATTGAATGCCGCAGACTTTGTATAGCTAAAATAACAAAATTCTTTGGCCGTAGTGCACTTGCAATAATGCAACGGCAATTGCACTGCCACGTCCCCCGACCTCATCCCAGTCAGTTATACGCCCCCATCTAGAGTGCTCGGCTACAAGTGCATTTCGATGCATTTATATGCGCTAATATTAGCGAAGCAGTGGCAGTTGGATTTTGATGATGTTTGGCCAACGGTTGGATCCATCGATTCCCTATCCGCTCCTCTCCACTCCATCCATCCCTGCCCCTGCCCGTCACCCGGCGATGATTATGGCGAACGTGTCGTCGTATAAAAGGCAAATATTTGCACACACCAAATGCTTGATAAATGCAGCAAACTTCCCCAGACACCGATGCGCGATGATGTGCCGATGAAAGCTCGGACCATGGTCCCCTGGCATGTCCCTTGACACACCGGTAACCAGCATAATCGCTGGCGATTGCGTTTGCATTTGCGACATTTGGCATTTTGCATTTTACCCACCAATCCGATCAAAAATCCTGCATATGCTGCATCCATCAACTCCCTTCGGTGTGCTTTTGCTGGCCTTTTTCAATTTAACCCTCTGACGACTGGGTTATTTTAATTTATTTTGCTTGATGTGCGCGCATAAATGCATTAATTGGACGATGCATTATCCATTAGTTCGAGAGTTCGCAGTCCAGACTCCGGCCTTCGGAGCTCGTGCATCTCAATTCGCTTCATTTGTTGTTTATTTCATTATAATTATGCGTCTGTGTGCATCAATTAACAAATTAAATTTGCCAAATTCAATTTAGTGGACATGGCCGGGACCGAAGGTTGAGTCGTTGGCAAATTAAAGGCTTAAATAGTTAATGTCCCACCCACCTGGTTATTTCCTCCAGCAATTTGCAGGGGTCGGCCGCATAAAATTTCACGCCGAAATACAAGTCATAGGGATCCGATTTGGGTTTCAGCTGCCGGGATATCCGTGATGCAGGATCCAGCCAGTGCTGTGAAGAGACCAAAGAGAATAAGGCTTTAAGGATGTGTGTGGAGGTCGCGGAAGGACCCTCTGGTCCAGGTCCAATGAAAGCGAAATTATTCAATTCGCCCTGAGGAAACAGCCAAGGAAACTCAAAGAGTTGGCCTCAGTCTGGCGACTCGGGCTTTTTGTTTTCATTTTTCAGCGCTCGACGCGCCTGAATGGATTTCATTGAAAACGAAAATGAATTTCAAAAACCAATATGTTTGCCCACCGGAAGTGGGTGTAGTGCTGCGTCTGAGTCCGGCCCCTTCCTTGCTGCACGATGCCACACTAGACTCACCGTTTGATTCTCCTCGTCTATGTAACGTATGCCGAAGTATGAGGTCTCGATTAAATTGAGCCTGGCAAAGACGACATCCAGCAGAGCCTGGCCCGGCAAATCATCCTGAAAATAGACAAGAAAATTGCTGTTAAAACAGAGCAAGAACGAGTAGCATGCAAGGAAGCTGGCAGTTGGGAAAAGCAGGAGCTGGAGCTGGAGGAGGAAAGGCAAACACTGGAAACACTGGCAAACTGTTGAGCCATTGAATGGCCACAGACTGGGTAACCGTTCCTCGTCCTGGCCCCGATGTCCTGTCCTTCTATCCGGTTGGCTAGCTCCGCCGTCCCGACAAAAGTGAAAACTTCCCAGTGACAATTATTCAATTGGAAAATTGCTGCCTTTTTTGCCGGTTCAGCCTCCGTATTACCCTGCCCCGTGCACTTTCTTTATGCCTTAGCCGGTCTGCTGATAAAATAAAATGGGGAAATGGAAAAGTGGAGAAATAAAATGGTAGAACTGCCGCCAGAGCAAATAAGAGAAAATGTCCCCGGCCAAACAATTTATGGCAAATCGAAAGCGGCCAAAGTCGAGCAATCAACAATTTTCTGTTGGTTTAATTTAATTTGTTAAAGCTTTAAAATGCCAATTCCCTTTTTTCTCGCCCGTCTGTCTAGTGGCAATAATAAATTGAGTTTATTCTCGGGGGAGAGCCCCTTACGCCATCATCAACCCCTGGTCCAAAAAGGTTGCCGCAGCTGCAGGAACCGCAAAAAGCACCCGAACTATGGCCAGGGGCGTGCTATTGTTAACCGCAAAGGCTGCTGCCGCCGCCGCTGCTTCTGCCCCAGCCACGCCCCCTCTTTCTCCGGCCTTCGACGGATGCTTCTTCATTGTCTGCAGTGTGTCTCATGTGGAGCAGCTGGCGCTTCAGCTCCAACATGTACGATTCCCTTCGTCCTGGCCCTTTTGTTTTTGTTGTGGTCTCTCTCGTTTTTGGTATCTGTTCCTTTTTTTTGGCACTGACCAACAGTCTCTGACTTTTGCCTTTTGTTGTCAATGCTGGTGTTGGTATTATTTTTGTTGTTTCTGTTCGACCCGCTGCCATGTTTTATTTATGGTATTTCTGCTCGGTCAAAGGATCCCTTTGGGGGCCACAACATCCTGCACACGGCGCTTCCCTTTGCATGCATTGGCCAACTTTATTGTTGTTGCGTAATAAACTTAATAGCTGGCAAGTGTGAACTAACTTGGCTTCGAATTTGGCCCGCAACTTGGTTTTATACCCTTGCAGAGAGTATTATAATTTTGGTTAAAAGTGTGCTATGAGGCATCTCCTCCCACCAAGAAAAATGGAAAAAAATCTACAAAATATTTTGTCTCAGGATTTTGATGCAGAATTGTGGTGAATCGATACAGAAATCGTTTAAGGTACTCCGCTTGAGAATCGGATGAGAATTGGGGAAGATATAGCCAACACGGTGGCCCATATAGGGGAAAACCCCATTTTCAAGGGATCCCATCACAAAAAATGAACAAAAAATCGAAAAAATATTTTGTCTCAGGATTTTAATGCAGAATGGTGGAGAATCAATCCAGAAACCGTTTAAGATATTCCCCTTGAGGATCGGATGAGAATCGGGAAAGATATACCCATCACTGTGGACCCTATAGGGGCAAACCCCATTTTCAAGGGATCCCATCACGAAATATGGACAAAAATCTAAAATATATTTCGTTACAGGATGTTGATGCAGAATGGTGGAGAATCGATACAGAAATCGTTTAAGGGAATCGAATGAGAATTGGGGAAGATATAGCCATCACTGTAGGCCATATAGGGGTCTATATCCTATATCTGCCATATAACTGAATCATCGGAGAAATAATTTAGTATTGGTTTATTGGTTTTATAATACAATTTTATTAAGAATCGGCCTACTATATGTGATAATTGCGATAAATATTCAATCTTAACCGCAAGGGTATATCACGTCGGCTTCCCCCGAAGTTAGCTTTCCTTTCTTGTTTGAGTTGAACTTCTTTAAATTTATGTATAGCCCTTGCGCTGGCCCACTCTGGGGGATTCAAAAGGCCAGATAATAGACCTACATATATTTCTGTGAAACATTATTGTGGCTTCAGCATCCCAGATCAAATCCATTATTGGCTTTGAATATTAACTGAACTATGACCACAGTCAGTCCAAATCCTTTCTCTTGACGTGGACTTTACAATGTAAGCAAATATATGTTTTAAACTGTAACCACACTCCGCTTGAAAGTTAATTTTTGCATGAACTCCGCACCACGAGGGACTTTGTGCGGGTGTGTGTCAAAAACTAATTGCATTTGTGCTGACTGCATTAGATGACAGCTGGGAGCAGAGCGGAGTGACATACTGACAGTGACATCAGCAGTGACTAAGTGAACGTGCTGCTGCAGTTCTGCAGGCCATCCTTCCATATAGCCATCCTGCCGGAGAGCTGCTCCTCAAATTGCATTACAAATACGTGAACGTGGGCAAGGACATTAATACAATGGTCTGTGAAATTTTCTGCACAAGCCATGTCCTTATTGTTGTCACCGGTTCTCTGTTGTCCTTTCTCCGCAGACTGTTGTTCTTCTTGTTGTTTTTGCTGTCAATGCTTTTACCATAAAACACAACACAACCCAGTACAACACAGTAGAACACAAGGAGAAAAGTGCATTTTAAAAATGCATAAGAGCCATGAGCGTTCATCATATTGTCGGTTGCCGTTTACTTAGTGCGAAAGTCTGAGACAGGCGAACGGAGCTAATAATGCATGCGCCGCAAATGGAATTCTAGATGAGGTGAGAGTGGAGCGAAATAATATCCTTTAAAGTGTGCCAAAGTGAGGCATCTTCGTCGAAACATCGATCTCCAAGGCGGTGGGCTTTTGCAGCCATCCCTCTTCAGGCCCAGACAGGAGTATCCCCAACTAATAGACACCCCTAACGAGTTCCAGCCTAATGAACTACGCCTCGTGCATGTCTAAAGTCGTTCAACGGCAAAGTTATGGCTAAAAATCAACGTAAACATGTGTGGGTCCGCAATGGCCGGCAATTAATCACAAAGGCTTCGTCGACCAGAAACCCGGAAAAACTTGTGCAAACAAAAGTGTTTAAGTCCCAAAAGGTTTTCCCCACAAGCGTCTGAGGCAAACTCATTTCCTCCTTCCTATGTATATCCATCTAAAACGCCCCAAATTCACACACACACCCCACACACCACACTCCACACACAACTCTTACTCTCTGACAGAGTTCAATAAATTAGATTTAACCAGAGTCGGAGTGAACTGAAGCAATGACGTAGATTATGTCTGGGGCATCAAAGGATGATGCGGATGCGGATGTGGATGCCGAGGCGGCGGCAGAGGCCGGGATATATCCTTGGCTATAACTGATGCTGACAGCAGCGAAAGGCAGGCGAGGGGATAGGAAAAAAATTAAGAAGACGCCGGATGTGCCTGTCGATGATTATGTTGATGCTAATGATGATTAGGTCTTTGGCTAAAATGTCTTAATCAAATTATGCTTACTTTGATGTTGCTAGAAGGACCTCCCGGCAGCCGCCTAGCTCGCTGTTGCCAAAAGACATCGAATCCTGGCCAAGTACACTTAATGAGCTTACATTTTTCCCAGCCCTCTCAGCTCACCCAGAGCCCCAACTCTCAACCTCGATTGCCTGCTTTTCTTGTCAGCTGCCGGCAACAAGAGAGAAGAAGTTTTTGCCATGCAACTTAATTAGAGAACGCCAAGTGGTAAACCGGAAAATATAGCACACATGTCTGGCCGGCAACCGGGTTTTAACCACCCCCTGTAGATTCTACTGCGATGCTGTGTTTTCACCCCTTGAGGGACACTTTTTCCGAGGAAAATCCCAGCTTCGCGTTTGGGCTAAAACGTAATCAGAGTCTTGCCAAACTTTAACTACGTGACTAACCCAATTTTGGCCGTATGCGTGTTCAGAAATCCGCTGAAAGTCGCCTGGGCTCTGACATAGTTATGTGTGAAAAAAAGACTTGCTTTTGTAATACAATTTCCAATTAAAGCTCCTAAGATCTGATATAAATAATTTGTCCTTGTATGTATGTTTTCAAATGCATTCCAACACCTCTGTAATTTCTTCTGCAGCCTTATTAGTCGCCATTTAATTTAGAAGGCAGCGAAGAAAAAAATGCCAGCTTAAGGTTTTTTCAAACAAAACAAACAGAAATGGAAAATGAAAACAAACCCTAGTCACTGGCAATGGGGGTCAGGTCAGATGGTGAAAATGATGCTCGGCATCTGCTCCCAAAAGCTTTTTCCTCCACGGGTCGTATACTTAATCTCCTATGTCTGCCATGGTGTACAGAGTGTGTGTGTGTGTGTGTGAGTGCAGGCTCTCCAATTGCATTGTGCGTATAATTGCGATGCTTGGCTTAAACGTGCGCTGACCTCTGACAACAAAGCCAAACACAAAACAACAAAAAAAAAAAGTAAAAAGAAAATAAAACAAGAAAGGAAAGCTAACTTCGGGCGGAGCCGAAGTTTATATACCCTTGCAGTTAAAACCGGATAATCGCAAACATCGGATATAGTAGGCCGATCCTTATGGGAATAGGAATATATAATCCAATTTATTACAATACAAAATCTAAAAAAAGTCCCAAACTTCTATCTTCAAAAATACGAAAGTTGATATTTCTACCAAATACCATTTCCGATCGTTCAGTTATATGGCAGCTATGGGATATAGTCAGCCGATCTTAATGAAATTTGGTAGGTTGGATCAACTGACCAAAAATAGAATCTGTATTAAATTCCAGCTTTCTATCTACAAAAACACGAAAGTTGGGTCATTTCCGATCGTTCAGTTATATGGCAGCTATAAGATATAGTCGGCCGATCTTTATGAAATTTGGTAGGTTGGATCAACTAACCAAAAATAGAGTCTGTACTAAATTCCAGCTTTCTATCTTCAAAAACACGAAAGTTGGGTCATTTCCGATCGTTGAGTTATATGGCAGCTATAGGATATAGTCGGCCGATCCTTATGAAATTTGGCATGTCGTATTATTTTGCCAAAAATAGCTCTCATGTCAAATTTGAACTCTCTAA